CCCCAAAACCCCAAAACCCCAAAACCCCAAAACCCCAAAACCCCAAAACCCCATGAACTTTCTAAAAACAGAGTGATATAAATATAATAAATATGTTATTCATACCTATCAATAAGCAGCACTATGGAACTGGCATTAAGAAGCGCAAAACACGTAAGAAAGAGTAAGTTCATGGAATCCAACCAGCTCTTGATAAGGAGCTGAGGAACATAAGGATCCTTTACCTAAATAAGCCTGGCTTTCTTGGTTTAACACTTATTACTCTCAAGAATTTGGAAGGTTCGAAAGCTTCAACTAATTTCTTGTATAGAAGTAAGAGAGATATGATTCCTGCTTATAAAGAAGAGGATCTCCGGCTTCCTAAAAAGTTTGCAGAGCAAGTCCTTGAGCTAGAAATTGATGTGGAGAACAATGTTTTCACAATCAAGCAAATTCAAAGATTGATGGCTCTCTACTCAAAAGCAGTTGAGTTCTATAATGGGAAATCAGATAGCAAATACTTGTTTTATCAAGATAAATTACAAAAGCTCATTACCCAGGACAAAGTGCTGGACATGCTTAATTCAAAGGCCAAGCATGACCATCAAGAAAGCAAAGTTGAGCCAAAAGAAGAAGTAAAAACAGATCCAAAAACCAAGAAAGAGCTTAAGGAGAAAAAGAAGAATATGAAAATGAACTTGATTATCACCAACAAGCAGCTCAAAAAGCATGATGTAAAAACTGAAATCATTAAAAAGCATGTTAGCGACCAAAGTAAAGAAGACGAAATTATTCAGAATAACTTGAGTGCCCAGAAAGACAACCTCAAGAAAAGACTCGAAGAGAGAAGAAAGAGAATGGCCCAGAAAAATGTCCCAAAGGAAGAAGTGGGCCAGAAGAAGACCAATTCATCCACTCCTAACCAAATCCCTGTTGAGAAAAGAGAAGGTGCAGAGAGTGAAGGCAAAACTAACTCTAGTGGAACCAACAGTGTTGGAGATAACTGCTCGTTCAAAATAAATTTTGATAGCCTCCAGGACGACAAATTCTCAGACGAATTAATGAACCGACTGATGATCCTCCAAAAAGGATATGATGATAACGACTACGACAATGACGATCTCTTTAATGAAGAAGCTGTCGAGGAAGAAATTGAGAAAATTTTAAACAAGTGCGATGAAGAAGTAGAAAAGATTCTCGAAGAAGACAGACAACAAATCGAATACCTTTATGAAGATATCGCAAATGAAAAGTTTGAAAAACTTGCAGAAATTAAAGGAGAATACAAATACAGAATCAAAATGGCCAAAACTGAAGAAGAACAGCAAGAACTTGAGAAAGAAAGAGATATAGAACTTCAGCAAACAAAAAATAAATATGATCAAATCAAGGCACAAAGAGTGCAAGAACTTAAGCAGAAGCATAAAGAGAATAAAGATAAGATCAAGATCAAAAGAGAAGGAATCAAAAAGGTTACTAATCGAGTGCGAAGAAGTGCGAGTCGTAAAGCCTCTAGACTAGCTTCAGGAATTGTTTCTCCCAGAATCAAGAAAGAGAGAAGTGATAATCATCCTACCTTCACTAACTTCATGCCTATTCAAAACCAGGCAGAGTTAAAGCAAGATCTCACTAAGACTTTCGAAAGGATGCAAGCCAATAAACCAATGGAGCTTCCTAAAGGTCCCATCAACATGAATGCATTGGTGAAACCGTCAAATGAAGAAGAATAATAATATGATAATTATCTAAAATCATCCCAATATTTTATAAATTGCTCGGGGTTTTGGGGTTTTGGGGTTTTGGGGTTTTGGGGTTTTGGGG